CGTGACGCTGGTAACACGTAATGAGTTTCTCGAAGGATCGGGGAACATCACGAATAATCCAGTATTTGCTACACGCCCTCTATTCCTGTATATAAGCGCGCCAGATAAAGTGAGACAATTAATCGGGAATGGAATTGCAGACAAAGAGATATTGAAACATATAATCGAGTCAAGCCGTAAGTAAAGTGCGTGAATCATTGTGAATTCTAGCCTGTGTCTAAGTTAAAGTGACTGTGGAAAGTAAGTGTACTGCAAAGTTGTATTGAAAAAGAATAAACTAGTTTTATTTAAGAAAGAACTTGTATCGTCGAAGTTCTTCGGAAAGAATCTTTACGGTAACAAACGACCAGAGGCGTAACACGTCCATATTTTACCGCTGGGCACATAGCATTCATCCTAGTAACGTTGCAAAAGCTGGGCACACATGTCCAATTCTGTTTATGAATGTCTGTCTATTGTTTTGTGATCCAACGAGCACACACGTTCCGGAAGCTCTGATGTTTATAAAAAAAAATGGCATGGGTACTGTCTGCACTTATGATACCTTATTAACAAATTCAACAATATTTACTCGTCTGTGTCCACCTTGGTAATGTTTACATCATTGGTGTCACTACTGAGGCGTCCTGGTCGATCTTCATCCACTATTGTTGTACGGCCATTGTTAAACCAGTCCAACTCGTACATTTTCCTATGCGCCATACAATTATCTCCATAGTGTACAAACATTTTCCCTTTGTTTTTTAGCCGGTACAACGCCTTCGGCCTATAAAAAAGGAAACGAATCGCAGATCGTTGCTCTCCTTTGGTGAACATTGACAACTGCGCATCGTGTTACTCACTTACTCATTAGTGCCACTATGCGTGAACGAGAGAGTATTTTCATAAGTACATAAATCAAAGTGGCTTGGTGGCGTGATGTTTACAGCTTTGTAGCACTTAGAAAGCACTGGTGTAAATATTGCCTTTATTTTCTGAACCAACCTCGTATTTAGGTATTTTTATTTCGTGACGTAATAGACCTTTTGCAATATTTTATATGAAAAAGAATTTCCTTCTACTAAATATCGAAATTTTTAGAACTTTCTCTAAGTTTTCGGAATTCTGTTTTTTAGATATAAAAAAACAACTATTTGTGATGGGCAATAATTGCTTTGCCATATCACTGTGTGTGTGTGTGTGTATTTGTGATAGTAGGTCGAATATAAAATTAGAATTTTTTTTTGAAATGTGTCCATTAAAAATGAGTAAATGTAGCTCATAGATATTACCGTTGTATTATTTTTTTAATGTACTTTTTCATATATCCATTCCACGCTTCATTATTGGCTACCATTATATGTTGTGATAATCCGTCCACACGATTGTCTGTCTGTGGCGCCCCCAGTGACTACATATAAATTACTAGCTTGTGTTATTCTACATACCTATATAAAGGTACTCTTTTCCAAATACATTAGATTAATCTATAGCTATAAAAAACAGGTTTTTCATTTATTTCGAACTTTGGGTGTTCTTAATTGTGAAACTATTATTTCTCTAATATAAATTTTCACTTTTTGAAAATTTATAAGCATAAGCATATCAATAATGGATATTTGTAAGTCCAACAGCTCTCTAATTATGAATATATTTGTTCTCAGTCTCTGGCGCTTCTAGTTGTATAAAATACATTGCAATTAATATAAGTTTTTTCTCCCTACATAAATACAACATATATATTGTTTCGCAAGCTACGGGTCCTGGGTTCGAAACCTATTATCGAACATGCTCGCCGTGGGAGTGTAATAATTCGACGGTCCATCACACTATTTGTTAGTAAAGAGTAGTCCAAGAATTGGCGGTGGGTGGTATTGACAAACTGTCTACCCTCTAATCTATCATTTCAAAATTAGGGATGGCAAGTCCATCCCTATGCGCAAACAACCTCCATCAACGATAAATGTTATGTTCAATTAAAGATAGATCCTGATTTTTAAGATCTACCGTCAGCTGAAAATAGATCGTATAATTTGTATTAAGCTCTACGTTTTTGCGTGTATAAATATCTAAATTGTTAATATTTAATGATTGAATATCACCTTCATTGACTCTACATTTTAGCATAAAAATATCGTATTGAACTGTAAGATTAAGAAATCAAAGACTACCTTTTTCAAAGTACACGAATACCACTCGATCAGTTGATATTGAGCAAGTGTATTTTGCTCTGGTTGCTCTTTGTTTGTCTAAGTTCATTCCCCATTGTTGTAAGTGTGAAGTACCTCGCGAATGTTTTGAAATAAAAATTCATTTTGGAGCAATGACCGCTTTTAAGTCTCGAAAACTAATTATATGTCCAGAGACATTGTGGATGACGAAAATCCACATCATAAACTTTGTATGTGTTTACTTATAGCAAAGTCACATCGGGCTATATGCTGTGTCCACTGAGGAGAATCGAACCCCCTAATTTTAGCAGTATAAATCCGAAGACTTACCGCTGTCCCATTATAATGTCTAACATGAAAGCTTATCCGAAATAACAATTACAAACACAGCTACGCCTTTTCTTTTATGAAGAAAAGAAAAAAGAAACCCAAGTTACTCCCTATGTTTACTAAGATATTTGAACCTGATAAGTCGAGTATAAGATTTTTGACTGTATTTATAAATTTTGAAAATGCTTTTGGCTTTGGCATTATTTGAAACCTTGAAAAATCCACATTTGTGTGATTTAATTTTCAGTACAAAATTTGTGTTTATGAAACCGACAAATATATACATGTAAATATATAATTTTTAATTCGTATTAGTTAGTTTCTTCATATAGATAGCGTAAGTGATGAAATTATGAAAGAAGCGAACTTTCCCAAAAATGTAACACCATTCTTTTTTTAAAAAAGTCTGATTTTGTGAGTTTTGAAATGGCAGCAGAAACTAATCAGAAAATTATTAATATTTTCTTGATGCTATAAATTTCATCAGGAGTGGATTTCTAATTTTCACATAAACATTTTTTGCAAGAAACGACATATTGCAAAAAATATCTTTATAAGTTTTTCTAGCTATTTTGTGGCATATAGATAGAATTGTGTTCATTCCATTTATTGTCTACAGTTGTGATTTTAAACTGTTGTCGAATCTTTTTTTTTAATTAAAATGTTGTAATTTGTAATCTCAGTAACTCAAATTATGTATATATATTAATGGCAGTATATCATTACATACTGAATACAATTCTATTAAAATTGGTTAAAATGCACATATTTCAAAGTATACCAAATATTCAACGTTATAGAAGCCAAATTTTTACTTTAGTTTTGTAAGGCTATATGACTGATATATCTTTTCTATTCTTCCATGAAATTTGGCATACAATTTTGACTCGGTAACCTTTTCACTGTCACTATTTAACTTTCATCTCCATGAAAATAACCTAATTTAAGTTGTTTTTTTTATTACAATGCATAAAAAGACATTTACGTTATATTAAAAAGCTCAAAATCTCGATAGTGTTTATCACAATCCCTGTATAATTTGCTACTCACTTGTTGTTGATTTGTTCTTTGCGAAGCCTAGTGCATGCCCTTCCTGTGGCTTAGCAATGGGTTTATGACGTCAAAATTTGGGTTTACATTCCTTCGGTGGACAGAGCACAGATAACCTATTGTGGAGCTTTGTGCTTTACAAAAATAAACATATAATTTTGTTCACAGCCCCCAGTGGCTCAGCAGTAAGTCTGACTGAGGGCTTATAGTGTTAAAAATCGGGTTTCGATACTCGCAGTAGGCAGAGCTATTATGTAACTTTGCGCTTCACAACAAACAAACAAAAAATATTTATGCACAAAATATTTACAAAATATTTTTCCCCGAAGTAATTTTCTGTATTTTTTTCATCCTATAATTTTGTTATATTTAATTATTTTGGATGTCAGTCAGCGTCATTCACTCACAATATATGAAGTTATCAATAAGTTCTGATGCCACGAAGATCAAAGTTTCTTTTTATTGCAAGTTTTAAAATTTGATTTACTACCTTTAAATTATGATTATAAACTTCAACTTCATAATTCTTTTTTTACTGAAAAATACGACATACGCTTTCTATACGTGTATTTTACAAAGGCCGTGAGCTCTATGTGTTAAAATTAGTACAGTTTTCGAAAAAACAAGTTCTATAGAAATGTTTCCAATGTAAAATTACATCCAATAAATGTATCTCTATTCTGAAAAAGTGTATAAGTAATTTTTATTGTCAGTTCAATGTTACTTTTTATTAGTTAAAAGTAATATAATCTTCGAAATTACAAATTCTACAGAACTATTTCCAGTGTAAAATAACAAGTTCTACATAATTATTTCCAGTGTAAAATTACAAATTCTACATAATTATTTCCAGTGTAAAATTAAGTTCAAAAAATGTATCTATGTTCTGAAAAAGCATATAAATAATATTTTATTATCAGTCTATTTTTCCACTTAAAAATATCAAGAAATTATAAATGCACATTATAAATAACAAAAGACGAAAAGTAAGCATCACTGTGCTAACAATTTATCAACACTGCTAAAGCATGTGATATTCCAAGAAGCTTATGATCATATTCCATTTAAGAATGCTTCAGCAACCAATTGATAAGAACAAAAGCACGTGCATTTTAAAACTGAGGAACAAAACAAAACTTGTAATTTGCTGCAAAACGCAGAATTTTTAAGAATCTTACGTGTTATATGTTCCTAAAGAAATGTTATGTTTAACTTAACTAACATATTTTGCAGCAATTTATGAAATAATCCGCGACATATTACACAAACATATTTATGTTATTTCGCTCTCTACTTTTAGTTAGACTTTTGTAAACTAGCACTTGTTCTCATCGACCTACCCTGACTTCTTCTTAGTCGTAGAAGTTAAGATTGCTTTGGAAGTGTATTATGAAAAAACTACAATTATTCTTAATTTGTATACATCTTTACATTTCACGAATTATATATTCTCTCACTATATCACAGTTTTTATGTTGAACTATCACTTATAGTAGAGTTACAATTAACATTTTCTTCAAAGTCACACATTCCTAGTTCTGAATTAAATAAAAACCCTTGTTTACAGTAGTGGGAGATCTTTATGCCATCCTTACAACGATAAAACACGTGACAAAACCTGGCATAATCTGGGTAAAAACCATCAGGTTTTTCAGAACAATCAAATAAAAAACGGTGAGGGACACCATGAACATGAGCTGGTTTAGAAACTTTGTCAGGAACATCGTTGCCTGTTGAATGTACATTAATATCGACAGTATGTTTACCGGAATCTGTACAAGTCACAGCTTCGGCCAAATCACAGGCCATTGTTCTTAGGTCGAACAGTTTTCCTGTAGGACAAGTATACAGAAGTACTTGATCTTTCAAACATGCATAATATTTCCGACAACCTGATTTATAATCTGGATAATATCCATTGATCTTCCCTTGACAATGAAGCTTTCCTTCCTTTAGTATTTCTGGTGTTTGACAAAAAACATTTTCTGGAAGGTCACAATTTTTGGACTCGGGGTTAAAGAGTAATACACTTGGGCAACTATATGTTTTCCTGATATTTCGATAACAAATGTGAAATTGCTTACAGCCACTTTCGTAATCTGGAAAGAAGCCAATTTCTTTGTATGGACATTCGAATCCAAAATTAATCGATAAGGAAGATTCTGTTATTGCGATGTCAGATAGAGGTACTTTTGTGGGGTTAGTGAACATCCCCTTGGTTTCAGGTTTTGTCACAGTAGGAAAGTGATCAAATTCATAGCTATCTACAAACAAAGGATCCGTTAAAGATGCTGAGAAGGAAGCACCTTGTTGAAGTTTAACTCCATAATAACTATATTTCGGCCGCAGGTTTGTGTTATTTACAAGCTCTAACTGCAAACTGTTAGTTTCATTTTCATCATTCAATACTAAACTGCTTGTGTTTTTCTCTAGCGTTGATACCAAACTATTAGTTTTATTTTCAATATTTAACACCAAACTGCTAGAGTTATTTGGAAATCCTGATACCAAACTATAGGTTTCATTATCAAGACCTGCTACCAAAATATTTCTTTCATTTGCATTACCTAACACCAACCCACCTATTTCTCTATCCTTACCTAATGCCAAAGAGTTTGTTTCGTTTGTAAAACGTAAAACCAAACTGCTTGTTTCATTTGCAAGGTCTGATATCAAATATTGTTCTTTGACGCTATTTCTTTCACTTGCAACGTTTAAAACTGTATTATTTGTTTCATTTCTAAGAATTAAAGCTGCAGGTTCAATTGTTTCTCGTTCATATTCTACAGGTTTTTCGAGCTTTGGAGATGAAGTAACTGGAACTGGTACCAATGTAGTGATAAACAGTTCAGTGACTGTTTTCATTTTCTTATTCTTATCTGTTTCACTACTCTCTAAAATATCATAGTGGTCAAAATCATCATACTTAATTACATTTTGGGTTGAATTAAGAATTTCATCTGTTAAATGGATACCTTTCTTCGTGCCAGCTTGATGGTTGTTAGTACTGGTTGTTAGAGAAAAAGTTTGGTTTTGATCCAATTTTTTTTCTATTTCTTTTTTATGATCTCCAAAATCAGGATAGTCATAGATTGCATAATAGTAATATTCATATTCTTGTGGAATATGTGTCGATAATTCACTTTTCAAATCCCGGTCGTTTATTTTCTTTGTTTCATTTGTTTGATCTATGGGATTTTCCTCAGTCGACATTTTCTGAATATCTTCATGTTCCTTATTCAGCGGTTCTATCTCTTCGTTTTGGTTTTTACCATCTGTTTCCTTGATGCCAACATTATGAACGTCCGTTTTTATAATAACAGTCTGGTTGTCATCATATTTTTCTTCATGCTTTACATAATCGCTGAAGGAATTGGGAGAGTCGTAGATGTCGTAATACAAATATTCATGTGTTCTTGGAACATTGGTTGTTAGTCCATTATTTACAAGTTTCTTGTTTGCTCTATTAAATTCAGCATTTTGGATATTAATCTGCTCGGCTGGCGTTTTCTGACCATTTTGTTGGTCTGCATTAAGTATTTGATGTTCTTTAGTATGGTTTCTACTATATGAAAGTGTTACATTTGTTTTCTGTGTTTTAGTTTTTCTCACCGCATTGTGTGTCACGGTAAAGTTTTTAGATTTAATATCTTCTGAAGAATTAATTTCCAGTGGTTGATCACTGATGGAACTATTGTTTTCTTCTTCATCAAATTGTACCGATTCATCAGAATTACCTGATAAGGACAGAGTTATTGGGTATTCATCAGGGAGTGGAGGTTTACAAATGACATTAGATTCTAGTTCGCAAAACAATGTAATTGTGTTAAACATATAATCTTCAGGACAAAAAACTTCCTTCTTCAAGCCCTTTTCGCAGATAAAATATTTTTTACAATGAGTTAAGTAATCTGGGTACATTCCATCAGTTTTAGAATTACAAGAAAAGCCATCGTCAGACTTAGTCCACTGTTCTTTTATCTGTTGACAATTTACTCTAACTGGATCATCACAGGATTCTGAATCCGGATTAAACACTAGATCTTCGGGACACATGTATGAAAATGTTTGTCCATTAGCACACAAATGGAATAACCTACAGTTTTCTTCACCAAGCATGTAAAAACCATTAGGTTTCGCTTGGCAACTGAACGAAGTATTTGTCTTCTGTAAAACTCGAATTATTCGAGATTTAAAGGTATAAGGACGAACAGACTCGACTCCTTTGTTCTCGCATTGGTTATTCGTGTCTGCATCACAAGAACGCGTGAAAGCATTGAACCATCTTCCCGTGGGACAGCTGTAGGTTCCTCCCCCATAATCCCAACATTCATGCCATCTCTTGCAGTTACTCGTTACGTCCACGTATATTCCTTCATCACCATGTAAACATTGAAAAGCACCAAGAATTTGCGGTGCCGTGCACTTAACTGAGCTAGAATCCTGGCATTGTCTGGTAACGATGTTAAATTTCGTACCTTCAGGGCAGTTTATGAGCTCTCTGCGTCCGTATGCGCAAATGTAATACCGGCTACACTCTGTGATAAAATCCGGAAATAGCCCTACTCGGCCTTCACACCCATACTGTGATATATCCCAGTGACGAAAGGTGGCTAACGTGGGATTGTTGTCAAGATGATTGCAATACACGAGAGATGACGACAGACAGCTCCCAGTTGAAGCATCAAACAGAGACGATGACGGGCAATACTTTGTGACGACTCTGCGATGGTTTATGCACAAAAAGTAAGCTGAACAACCAGTGTTAAAATCTGGATACAGCCCATCCGTTTTACCCTCACAGTCAGGATCTTTTACAAAAGCACATTTTACCAAAGAACTAGGGTCACACTTCCAAGTAGCTGGATTCATCAGTTTGCCCTGCCCACAGGTGCCAAGATGTGTCATGTGATTATCCCTACAAATCATGAATTCTCTACAACCAGTTTCAACAAGAGGATAAATCCCATTAGGCTTATTCTGACAATCCATTTCTGTAGGTTTCTCACACCTAGCTTTAGACGGGTAGTCACATGCTAACAGGCGCTTGCTAAAAGCCAAATTTGCGGGACAAGAATAACTTTTTGGCTTACCATTAACACAGAGGTAAAACGCTCTGCAATTATTGTCATATTCTGGATAATAACCATCAGGCAAACCATTGCAGTTAAAAGAAGAAAAGTTGGAGCAATGCACGCCTTTTGGGTGGTTACATTTTATTATCCTTTCATTAAAAATCTTCCCTGGTGGGCAAACGTACTCAGATATCTCCTCGTTGCGACATAGATAGTACCGCTTACAATTTTCTGAATAATCAGCGTATATCCCCTCAGACTTTTCTTCACAGGAGAGTTGAAAGCATGGCACGTCTTGTGTCTCTCGGCATGATCCTGTCCTCCAATCAAAAAGCTTGTTTCCAGGACAGCTGAAAACCACTTTCTGGCCAGCTAATAAAAGGAAAAATAATAATAATGAAACTCTCGAGGCAATTAAGCTGTTGTACTTGGGTATTATGAGAGATATTTGTTTTCTTGTGACATAGATTACTTTTGTTTTTTGTTTATAAATTTGAAACTTTCGAATATTTATCACACTAAATAAAATACAAGCCCATATATTCAAATACTTTATTAACAATAACATACCTGTGGGTGTGAAATATGAAACGGGTTATTTATAAAAAATGTGTTAAAATGATAATATTTGACGTGTGAGCTCTAAAGGAAGTAAAGTTACTTAAATCTTAACCATTGTTTATGTAGATCCAATCTGCATAAAGAAGTGCTGTTAAAATCTTAGGTATTTCTTGTATTGGCCCACTATACAGGGAGAAGCCCTGCAAAAATGATAACCACTTGTTGTTTCGACCCACTCTGCAGGGAGAATGGATAATGAAATATTAACCATTTGTTGTGTAGACCCACACTGCGTGGAGAAAGGATGATAAATTATTAACCATTTGTTGTGTCGACCCACACTGCATAGAGAAAGGATGATAAAATATTAACCATTTGTTGTGTCGACCCACACTGCGGAGAGAAAGGATGATAAAATATTAACCATTTGTTGTGTAGACCCACTCTGCGGGGAGGAAGGATGATGAATTATTAACCATTTGTGGTATCGACCAACACGGAGGGGAGAAAGGATGATGACATATTAACCACTTGTTGTGTAGTCCAACTCTGCAGGGCGAAAGGATGATGAAATATTAACCACTTGTTGTGTAGACCCACTCTGTTGGGAGAAAGGATGATGAAATATTAACCATTTGTTGTGTAGACCCACTCTGCGAAGAGAAAATATGATGAAATATTAACCATTTGTTGTGTAGACCCACTCTGCGAAGAGAAAAGATGATAAAATATTAACCATTTGCTGTATAGACCCACTCTGCTGGGAGAAAGGATGATGAAATATTAACCATTTGTTGTGTAGACCCACTCTGCGGGGAGAATAGATGATGAAATATTAACCATTTGTTGTGTAGACCCACTCTGCGGGGAGAAAGGATGATGAAATATTAACCATTTGTTGTGTAGACCCACTCTGCGGGGAAAAAGAATAGTAAATAGTAAAGTGCGAGGATTTGTTTGTTTGTAATTAGGCACAAAGCTGATCTGCACACCACGAGTATCGAAACCCGGTTTCTAGCGTTGTAAGTCTGCAGACATAACGCTGTGCCACTGGGGAGCCTCTATGCGGAGAAAATATAATAAAATATTAACCATTTGTTGTGTCTACTAACCCTGCGGGTCAAACGGTGGTTAGGGATTCAACGTCGCTTCAAAGAGTAGTCCAAGAGTAGGCGATAGGTGCTGTTTACAAGCTGTCTTTCCTCTAACCTATCACTTTAAAATTTTGGATGGCTAGCGCAGACTGCTCTTAATAACTTTGCGCGTATATACGAAAGTAAATATGACAAAAGGTTAAAATAACGTAACCATTTTTTGTGTCGGTTCATTTTAAATAGAGAAAAAATGTTAAAATATTAGCAATCTGTTCTGTTGGCTCACTCTATATAGAGAAAATGTGTTAGAATCTTAGCCAAATGTTCTGTCAACCCACTCTGCCTAGAAAAAATATTGAAATCTTAACTATATTTTGTGTCGGCCCAATTTGCCAAGAAAATAAAATGTTGAAATATTAGCCATTTGCTCTATTTTCCCACTCTGCCTTATAATGTATATGATATTTGATTATTCAGGTTAAAAAAGTCAGCGTCTTTATCAACAATCACTTCAATAATATACCTCACTTTGGACCTATATACTAAAAACACCAAAAGTCACGTGTTCTCTGGCAATGAAAATAGTGTTTGTTTTGTTGTCCTAAACTAAACCAATCCGACTGTAACTTAAATAAAAAAAATAAAAGCCTCTCTTGCGATTAAACTTGCATTTCTATAAGTACAGGCCCGGCATGACCAGGTGGTTAGGGCGCTCGACTCGCAATTTGCGGGTCGCGGGTTCGAATCCCCGCCCCTTTCATGCTCGCCCTCTCAGCCGTGAAGGGGTATAATGTGATGGTCAATCCGACTATTCGTTGGTAAAAAGAGTTGGCGTTGGGTGGTGATGACTAGCTGCCTTCCCTCTAGTCTTACACTGCTAAATTAGGGACGACTAGCGCAGATAGCCCTCGTGTAGCTTTGCGCGAAATTCAAAACAAACAGACAAACTATAAGTACATAAATAAATATGAATCTACAATAAATATTTGTAACTTTACATATCAAGTGCGTAAATATCTAGAAAATAAACTGAAGTATCAATAAGCCTAAAGTGGCTTGACAAATATAAATTAACCATTGTCACATTCTTCTTATTGAGTTAATCACAATAATATAAATAGACAGATAAATACTTATGATCTGTTAGGGTTTTATTTTCACCAGTTTTCTTGAAAATTATTCAACTTTCTTTAATAAAGTTCTTTACCTTTACAAAAATAAAATTTACGGCATTCACTTTCATAGTCGGTGTAAACTCCATCTTCCTGGTCACCACAGTCTCCAACCAACGTTGGCCAAGCTGACTTCTCCGGATCAACACAACTTACACTGTGGGGGGCGTCGCAATACCCTTCATCAGGGTTGAAAACGGTGCCATTGGAACACCAGAAAATGTGTGTTCGACCACTCTCACACAAATAGAACAACCTACATGCTTTCTGATAGTCGGGATAGGCGCCATCGGGTCTTCTAGTGCAATCAAAGGGCAGATGATTCAAGACGGCAGCTGTGGGGTCGACAATATCACCGAGACTAAGAGCAGTAGAAAGAAGTGGCGAGTTCTGTTAAAATTAAAGCAAACAATTATGTAACTATTAATTATAAATTGTAAAGATTTATTATATAAGCGTCCAAATAAATAGACGTTTCTTACCTGGAATGTAGCTCGCGATGGGCGTTCCTGTGTCTCAGTTGCCAATACATTAAAAGCAGATATTCCTTTAAAAGAAAACAAGAATATGTATTATATATATATATATAGCTAGCAGTAAATAAAGTATCAAGTATAACCAAACTTTTAATTGTTATCTTTTTTAATTCGATCATATTTTAGGTGAAACATAGATCACAATAAAAACGAAAATTAAAAACAAATTAATATTTCCTATAACGTATTTTATATTGAAGAAGAACAAAAAACTCGTGCCGGTTTAAATATATCCTGTTATATACCCTATAAATAAAAAGTTAGAATTATAAAACTCCCTCCACTGACAGAACAAGGAACAAGACCAAGCTGTTTGAAACGACACCCATAATAGGATTGTTTGCTATGTATAACGTCAAGGTGGCTTTCAAAAATCTAGTTTAATATCCTGTTTAAGATTAGAGACGTGTGCAGAAAAACAACAGACTCTATGATGAACAACGTGAATGCCTGGTAAACGTCACAAGGTCATCATGTTAAAATCCTTCTAGTTGTTTGAAAGGGTTGTCCCTTTCTGTCAACTAGTTGTAATTATAAGCTTCAACATGTTCAGAAGGACGATCTTTCTGACCACTAGAAACAAGAAAGACTGCTACAATTACTAATTTCACAGGTTTTTATTTGTTTGTTGTTGTTTTTTTACAGCATGATATCACTTCTCTTTTATATCTTTACTGATTTGTTAGAGTTAAATAACGTTATCTCATTCAATTGTAAAACATAAAAACGTGCTTAATAAAACTTTATCTCTTCTAGGAAAATAAACTTTCAACTTTCTCTAGCAGGATTTTAAATTTCGTATGAAGAAAATTAATGAATTATTTCCATACTGGGTCAATACTTTATAATGACATTTACGTAATAATATTTTCATTTCTCCAAATCCTTCTAGCGATATGATATATGTATTAATTTGTATTACTGTGTTAACTCTTCCAAATGCTATCATTTGAATGACGGTCGTCGTCAGGAAGGTTTGGGAGTGCAAACGAACTCCCTTTTGGATCACAAATAAACATTAATTCCACGAACCACTATATCCACGTATTGAACGACCAACGGTCCCATTTCTCAGTTCAATGTAAAGGAGCAAGGGCAATGGCAAACACAATACTGTAAAATTATGTTCTGGCCAGATTAAATTCTTAATATTTTCACTTACGCTATGGCAGCTAGATACACTTCAGGAGGCTGTGGCTATTCGTTCATATTTACATACTTCCAGCCAGTTCGATACAGTACCCATACGTTGCATTTATTGAATGACTCAAATGACAATATATCCACCTTATATTATGTAATTTAGTTTTTGGTAAGCGCAAACCAACAGGCTATCTGTGCTGCCCCCACCGCCAGCATCGAAGCCTTATTCAATGACGAGGAACTCACTTTGAGACTAATATTGGTTGGAGACGGCTTGAATGGGTAATGAAGAAAAACTTTAACATAAGTTTAACATAACAGCAAATGTACAACGTTTCTACAAGGTTTTGTCATCATCGGGTCTCCAACCATTATTATCGAAGCCTTATGTTTAGTGTTATAAACCCTCAGACTTGCCGCTGAGCTAGCGGGAGGGGGATGGGGGCGTAATATAATAAGGTGCAAAATAGTTATTAAAAATTCGAACTTACACATAGACCTCAGTTAAATAATAAAGAGATAATATCAAGTTTATTTTTAAGATTAGCGTGAATATTTACTTCACTGTAACTTATTCATCGTCGAGGCCTGGGACTAAGGTAAAGAAAATATTGTTACGTCTGTGTTCGTTTGTTAATTTTTCGTAGACATTTTTTCCAAAAAACTTCAGCGATACAAGTCTTTTCTCAAATAAAACAAGTTTATTCTTTCTCAATTCAACTTTGCAATGCACATAATTTCCAAAGTCACTTTAACTTAAACATACGCTATAATTAACAACGAACGATTCGCGCACTTTACTTACTACTGCACGTGACTCAATTGTCCATCTCTATCTCTGCCTGTCTGCAATTTACTTATCTGTGTCGTCACTTCTCGCCGGGCTTATATATACAAAATAGAGGGCGTCTGGCAAACACTCTAGCCCATACTTATTATGTGTTACCAGCGTCACGTGACTTCCGCTGTCGTAACACTGCCCCTTCCTTAGTATTGTTCATCCCGAACAATAGCCACTTAAGTCAAACCAATAGATAATTAACAATAACTTAATTAAATGTACAGGATTTACAAACACAAAATTAAAATTCAACAAAGTCTCTTGATTTTACGGGACGTATCTTCTTCCGTATTGGCTTCTGCTTCACGTGAAGTTCATCTGCTCCATCAGGAATTGTCCTATTATCGGTAATAGTCACATCAGTGGTAGTAACTTCATGAAGGGCTTCACTGGTTCTCTTCTCAAAACCGAGTAGAGTTTCTTCTTTAACAGTGGCTTTTTCAGGTGACACGTTTTCAGTGGCATCTTTTGTTCCATTGTTCACTTCGTCCCAACTGAAATGTCGCTAGTGTTGGAGAATTACACGAGCCAAGCAGCAGCAGTGGAAAATCAACTCTGCCTGGGCTGACATATCCCAAACACCCAACAATAAACCAATTCGACCTTGTCTTAATGAGTCCTTATGCTTTCCACAGACTCGTGAACGAAAATTCATACATGAATAGTATAAATCATATCTTTGGCTTGAATATTCTGCATCTACTGACAAAGTTTACTGTTTTGTCTGTCGTCATTTTACTACAGCCACTAAATATCAAGGTGAGCAAGCTTTTGTTTCTGAAGGGTTCACTAAACGGAAAAAGTGCACGGGTAAATCTCCCCAAAAAAATAAACTGCTCAAACACAATCAGTCTGATGCGCATTTGAACAACACATGCAAATATCAAGCTTATTTAGTATCAGAGCTTTCTGACAAAATAGTAGCAAACCATATTAATAAAGCTCACCAGCTGATTGTGGAAAAATAGAGTATACATCAAAATACTTGCAGACATAGCTCAGGGAACTGATCATGAAGGAGACACAGTTGAAAATAAAGGAAACTTTTTGGTAATGTTAAACTTCTTAAAGACTTATTCCCAGATCTTAAATGAACAATTGTGTGAAGGACCTGAAAATGCCAAATATACACACCACAGTGAACAAGATGACATTTTAGATATCGTAAGTGATATAATTTTGGACAAAATAAAAGAAGAAATAAGAAAAGTTCAGTACTTTTCCATCTTAGTCGATGAAGCTAAAGACCTATCGAAAAACACCAGTTGATTCAGAAGTTCGTGGAGAATTTCTTGGTTTTGAAGTCATTGGTAAACCCAATGTAGAATCGTTGGCCAAATATATCTTCTGGAAGAGTTAAGGGACAACGTACTTGATGTCAGAAACCTGATTGGTCAAGGATATGGTGGAACTGTTGTCATGAGCGGCAAGTGCTCTGGGATTCAACAGAAAATAAGACAAATCATATCTCAAGCCATCTATATTCACTGTTTTGCTCATCGCCTTAGTTTGATCATCGTAAAAAGTGTTAAATCTGTTACCTCTGTGGCTGACGTTTTCTCAGCGCTTCAGACTTACTACAGTTTTTAAGTGGTTCTAATGTTCACACACAGTGGATTGATTTCCAAAGAAGAAAATACATGCACCCAAGTGAAAAGCCTGTAGAAATTAAAACAATGTCAAAAACATGATGGGCTTGCCAGGTGCTTGCTGTAAGTGCAATTGTAGCAAGGTTTGACTGTTTTATTAAATGTCTGTGGAATATTGACCTCAGTGATTGCAATTGAGACCATGCATTAAATGCCCAATTCATTTTGGTGCAATTTGCCAGACATTCATATACTGTACACTGTTTCTGAATGACATCTTATGTGAAGCAAAAGGAGCATCAGATATGCTGCAGAGTTCCAAGTTAGATTATTTGAAAGCACCAGATCTCATTGAGAGTCTTCTAGCAAAGTTTCAAACCTACAAATATGACGATAAAGCTGCACCTTTTTTTTAATGATCTTGTGGTATCGCTATCAGAAATGACCTGAAATGTTGCCATCAGTATCAGTTACTAAACTCCACGCCCTCAAACATAGAGACTTTGTAGTTTTAGCCACACTTGGGAAGCCTGGCCATACGAGAGTCATCTGATATGAAACGAGCCATCTTGTTTCCAACCATTGGTAGTTTTCTTACAAGATTAAACAAACGATTCAATGTGGAAAGTCTCCAAATGTTCCTCTTCCTGTTAGCAGTTGACCTCAAATCTGAAAACTTCCTCGATTTTGAGACTACTAAATATCTCGTCGCCCATTATAGAGTGAATCTTGAATACATACAAATGGAAATGAGGCAAGCTAAGTGAATGAATGAGCATTCAAGTGCCACATTTGGAGCAGTTGAGGAGTTTGCAGAACAATGCAAACACTTATTTGTGGCTTTTATTGAACAGTATATGGAAGCCCATGGAGGGAGTATAAGTCCAAGTCCAAGAATAACCAGTTAAAATCGAAGCCTGGGTGGCTGACCGGAAGAAGGATGCCACCAAAGCTGAAAAGTAGTCAGCAAACAGAAGGAAGAAGGGATACTATGCTTGTTATAAAATGTGGCACATTGTGAGTGAGTACAAGTCTGTCACCAAAAAGCAGCCACAAAAATTACAACATAAAGTAGCTGTAGGTGCCTTTAGAGATAGTCCTGGCAATAAACAAGAAAATAGTGGATGCTGCTGAAGAAATAAAATAGAAACAACACATCAGATTTATCACAAGAAGGAAGTGTTATTTCCATGATTAAATAGTACATGACTGGTGGTCAGCTCAAGTTAGCAAATGTATCAACAGTACCAGTAGTGATTGGATATGTGACAAACATTGAGAGATGCCGACAAACCACAACATGCCAGTAGGTGAAGAATATGTCAGGGACACGAAAATGAAAGTCTTATGAGAAACTGAGTGCAGTAGGGCAGCAATGAGAACTAGTCTAGTATCTGATGGCCAGATGACAGACTATGTACATCTGTGTGGGCTGATT